CTTGGGAAGGTCTTTGCAGTGGATTTCTGAGGGAAAATAAATAATAAATCACGCCTTATCACCATGTGTACACAAACCCTAAACGACCAGACCTTGATATGGTGATGAATGCTTCAAGTCAATATACCCCATTGAGCTGGATTATGAGGCAATGAAGAGCTCTCTTCAAATGGAGACGACAGTAATCTAATGAGTGACACGTTTTGATGTCAGACAGCTCCTGTCTTTTCCTTGACAAAGTCGTCAGGCCGTTAAACCTCACGGGCACAGAGCGAGGTTTTATAGGCTTGGGGTAAAAATGAACCGGCGTCTAATTCACTTTCTCTTTGTTGCTTATCTAAAGGCGGGGCTGGAAATATATCATGACAGCGCCGTAAAAAGGAGGCTGTTGAGATGCCCGGATGGTTCAAATCTAATAGTTTTCTCCTTTTTGACTCGTCTCTCTTTCTGCAGGCTAAAATAATAATGGAAGAATTAACCTGTGGTGTTCAAGGCTATTGGATTTGAGTTTCCCTGATATGAATCTTACACACAGAAGCTGTGAACAGCATCTTTAAGTTGTCAGAGTTGGAATAACTGCAGGGGAGGCAGAGGGCAACTGTAACACTAAATATCTTCGATCTCAAACCAGGTAAAAGCAAAGACACATGCTCAGTACAGTTCTCTGTCTGTCTGAGAACAACTGATTTTGAAGAATAAAAGGGATTTTTTCCTCCCCGGATATAAAGTATTTTTCTTCTGTATAAATTATGATGCTTTTGAAACTTTTCACTTTTGTCTATTTCATGTGTAGGTTGTTGGGTAAATATTAGTATGAGTGGCAGATGTTAACACTGCATCTACCAAACAAAAACTGTATGATTGCTGTGAGGCTTGGGAAAATATTAATAGTTATTATTATTTACTGCTGTCAAATCGATTAATTGTGATTAATCGAATTTTAAAAAAGTTTGTTTACATACTATGTGTGTGTACTGTGTGTATTTATATGTATGCATACTAGGGTTGTGACGGTGAGGAAATTTTCCCACCGGTTAATCGACGTGTGACAACACCGGTAATACCGGTATCACCGCGGGGGCGTTCCCTCTTTTCCTCGCTTTCCTTCGCTTTTAAATAGCTTGTAAAAGCGGCGTGCGCATTTCGGCCCCGCCCCTCTCGTCACAATATATATACAGTATATATACACACACACACACACACATTTTATTTATACACACACACACACACACATATATATTATGTAAACACAAACTTTTATTTTGGATGCAATTAATCGCAATTAATTGACAATTACTATTACTATTATTATTATTATTATTATTCCCCAGTATTAAAGCATTAACAGACTTATAATTTTTTGTTTGGAAAATAAATTATATAAGAAATTATTTTAAAAAATTACACTTAAAAATGTTTACATTTACAAATAAATATATAAATAAATAAAATGAACAAAATACACAAAATGTAAAATATAAAATAACATATTTCTTCATGTACAATGCAATTTGTGTGCCATACTAAAACTTAACATTTCAAAAATAAATATTAAAAAGGTTTTGAGAATAATCTTTTGAGAATAATGCTCCTTTTTTACAATAAAGTTGCTGCATAACAAGATTAAAACATTAATATTTTGAGAATAAAGTCAAACTTACTAAAATAATGTTGTAGCTTTTTTCAGATTTTAAAATAGGGATGTTATTTATTTTTTAAAGATTTTTATGGCGTTTTATGGCTTTATTTCGATAGGACAGTAAGTGGACAGGAAGCGAATTGGAAGAGAGAGGGGGGCAGGATCAGGAAAGGTTCACAAGCCGGGACTCAGGGACTCGGGACGCCTGAAACACAACAGTGCTACATGTCAGCGTGCTGCCCACTAGGCTATCGGCACTGACGGGTGTAAGATTTCTATTTCAGATTTCAAAACAGAGCTGTAAAACTAAAAACTGTTGCTTTTAATGAACCAATTGCATATCCAGGAAAAAAAGAAGAAATAGTGAATGTTAGATCCAGACAGAGTAAAGGATGATGCAACCTTTGTCCACCTCTGTGCTTTGCCTGTGTCCGCACTATGTAAGACACGGATAGATTTGCCAGTCCTTCACATCCTCACTGAAAAAGAAATAACCCGCTTTAACCCGTCTCTCGTGGCATTGATTGATAGGCTATGAGCGTCGGACTTAATAACCTCTATCATACCATCCAACCCTCTGCTGGCGGCAGGCTCCAGTTTGTTTATGGGTGGCATCTCCTCCAATACGCCATGTGTGTGAAAGCTCTACCTGTGCTAATGGTGTGGGCTGAGGGATTGGACTGTCAGCTGGGAGTGAGGCCTCATTTTTCTACCTGCCTGCTGTCCACGTTTCCAACCCCACAGAACAGCCCCTTTACGCCTTACCCTCTGTACCCCGATCATCTGTCAGCCTGGACCTCAGCTCCCATGATGCATTGAAAAAGAGAGATGGGGTGTCAGCTCTGGTTGGCTGTGAGTGACAGTTCTACATGTTGGAGCTGGTTAATCTGGTGACGTGGCCACATGGATCGTGTTTGTCTCGCTTGGTTAGCTCATTCACGTTGAAGAAGAGAGCAAATGTTCCTTCAGCTTATTTGAGAATGTTTTAAAAACAAACGTTCATGACTGCCATGGTATGAAATTAATTTCCCTCCTAAACGAGCATTTACTGTCTTTTTGGCCAAAAGAAACAAGAAAACGTCAGCTTGGGGAAGTATTCTAGGTTATTAGCTCTTTGATCATGATATTCGAGCGCTCTTCTTGCTTTCAGAGTAAATGCTTTCACTCTCTGTGATGATCTGAACAATTATGCAGTGCTGGAGAGGCAGGCTGCAGATTATTTATTGAATCAAACATAATTGCATTCTTTCTGAAGTGCTGAGATCTCAAAGGCACTTTCTTGCGGCAGAATCTCACAGATACACACACGTACATTATACACTACTGTTCAAGTGTTTCTTTTTCTTTAAATCGCATACTTTTATTCAGCAAGGATTAAATTGATCAAAAGTGACAGTAAAGACATTTATAAAGTTACAAAAATGATTTCACGCAAATGCTGTTCTTTTGAACAATCAATACATAAAATAATTCTGAAAAAAGTATCATGAGTTGCTATGTTTAGGTAAAAAATTATACTGTCAAATAAAAAATAAAGAAAATAAGAACAAATAATCTAACTACAAGCAACAGCCCTAAGCACAATAGAGTAAAGATACAAATATCACCCGGCTATGTCTGCTATAGATTAGTATATAGATAGATAGATAGATAGATAGATATTAGGGCTGTCAATCGATTAAAATATTTAATCACGATTAATCGTAAGATTGTCATGAGTTAACTCATGATTAATCGCAACTTAATCGCACATTTCTATCTGTTCTAAATGTACCTTAAATTAATACTTTTCAAGTTTTTAAAACTCTAATCAACATGGCCATGGACAAATATGGATGCTTTATGCAAATGTATGTTTATTATTAGTGAAACCATACTCAACATAGAGCATTAAGACTAGACATGTTTCAAAGGTCATATGTTTTTCAAAAAACTTGTTCATGTCTATTAGACACATGAAAAAAAGAACATAGAAATACCAGTTTCCCATTACTTCTCTTTCTTTGCACTGAGCAATTTACTTACACAAGCCTGTTTACATTATTTGCAGGACAGGGCAGCTCGCTTCACAAAATGTACATTTATTATTTGTTATTACATTTGTTTGCATCTCTGTGCCCACATACTGTAATTTGATGCAGCCAAATTCTCAATAAAACTGTTTTCATTGTTATATTTATATTGTTATAAGTTTCTATTGTCAGACAACCGAATTAATATGAAATAGTGACTGAAACCCGATTCATTAAGACTACATAACCAACTGTCCCTTCCAAGATGTTAATCTGCACAAAAATCCTGATTTATAATCGAGCCGTCGCCTGATGAAGTCAAATACACATAAGACAAAGACAATAGCTGTGTTGTGATTTCGACTATACTTGCATGTAAAATTAGAGAAGCAACATAATATCTCGTTTAACTAAAAGCGCTGCTCCTCTCAACCGCTCGTTAAACAGAGCAGACGCTAAACCTCGCGCTCGAATCTCAGAAACTAAATAAGGTTTGTGTTATATATTGTTGCTAAATTGCTAGGCGCTTTTTTGTAAAAAAAAAAAAAAATCTCTGAATCTAGCGACAAAGTTGCTAAGTTGGCAACATTGTCAGCATCTCCATTTCTCCAACTACGGGCTAGGCAGCGGGTCAAACAGAAAATGCACACTGCGTTAATAGTGCGTTAATTTTGACTGACTGACTGACTGACTGACTGACTGACTGACTGAATCAATCAATCAATCAATCAATCAATCAATCAATCAATCAATCAATCAAGATAGATAGATAGATAGATAATACGAAATGTTTCCTGAGCACGAAATCAGCATATCAGAATAATTTCTGAAGGATCATAAGACACTGAAGACTAAAATAATAGCTGCTATAGAGTCAGCTTTGCAATCACAGGAATAAATTATATTTAAAATATATTAAAATAAAAACAGATTAAATAATTGATTATTGTACTAAATAATATTTAATAAAATTAAATATTAATTGATAAGTTATATAATAACTGTTTTACTGTATTTTTGAGAAAAACAATGCCACCCTAGAGATGTAAAAGACATAAGCATAAGAGACTTCTTTCAAACAAACAAAACAAACAAACAAAAAACGAGGCAATTTTGAAAATGAAAGGGAGAATCAAATGATGGGAGAATTTAAAGACATGAAAAGACTGTAAAGGTAATTTGCTCATCATCAGCTTTTTCATACCTACATTATATGCACACATTACCAGCATACATGTAAGTTGCTATCTAAACCTCACACATCCTTCATGTACACGCTCAGAATCACTCATATACAGTACATAGCCTACACTGAAAAGGTTTAGAGGATGAATAGACATTTTCCTTACCATAAATTCCTGTCGATATGCATGGAAAGGCCTGTAACAGAAAAAAACAAAAAAAAGTAAGCAAACTCTGAAATTAAATTCATATAAATTCACATAAATTCCAACCCAATCCTAATCAGAAAGGAGAAAACCAGTTAGTCATTGAATGTACAGAGTTCAGAGGAGCAGCCAATGAAATGAACCCAACCTTACAGTTTTCAGCCTTGAGTTGTTGTCTCTTTCCAATTCCTGCTAAGCTTGCATTTTGATAACATGCATGAATTTCATTAAAGACAACCCTATGAAATTCTACTGCTTGAACTGAAATTTGACGTTTAGTGAATGTCAAATGTTTCATTAATAGCCAGTGGGAATAACTGCTAATGCAAGCTTCAAATATATAACACCAAACATCAAATATATATTAAAAAGCCTAAAGACACAGGGCGTTGCTTTTCACTGAGCAGACGTGTTTGTTTTTGTGGATCTCTAGGCTATACCGAAACACTTCGGCTTCAAAGAAAAGGATAAAATGAACGTTTCTTCCTGTTGGGGTAGACTGAGTGCTTACATTTGGAGCAGTGCTTTGACACATCGTGACACGCAGACATAACATCCATGTAAATCAGTTTGAGATAACACATATTGCCATATACAATAACAGTGACATTGCCACCTGTAGGCTTCGCCACCTGCTTTTGACACGCACCCAGTGAGAAAGATCCATTTCGATTTACTTCCCCTAGCGAGAGACATCAAAAGCAGCATTTTGCCTGTCGTCTGGTGTTGATCTAATTAATCTGACAGTTAATTAAGGGACAGTCATATTTCAGTATGTCAGGACACATATAGTAGCTGGAGGAGAGATGGCCTCTGGGAAATGTCTGTAGAATACATCCAGAAATTGTGCACAATAATTCAATACTCCTGGAAATTATAATTGATCCACTCATGGCCTTTACAATATCCTGGATAATTCTGAAGGGTAAATGGGGCCTTGGATTGGAGCCACTTAGAATCTGGGAAATGTTTGGATTAATCTCTGAGGAAAATGATAAACTAAATACACTAGGAGGCAGAACAACACATCGTGGAAAATGTTGCCAGTGTAGGTGAACACGACAATCTCAAAGTGCATTTTTGCCTCATTTCAGTTGTGGATTTGGCACATGGATGACGTTTGGGCGGTGTTATGCAAATCTTCCCACACAGTGAGGTAGACATGTGGGGGCATGTTTGAACGAGGCGTTTTAGGAGGGCGTGGACCAGAACTAACTTTTATAAAGAATATCTCTTTGGGTTTGAGACTTTAGTCTTTGTAACTTTAGGGATCTTATCTATGCACGAACAGCTTGTAACACTCCAAAGAGAAAGGAAAACTTGAAATCGCATCATATGACCCCTTTAAATAAAAAAACAATGGAGTCCATATAAGACTTGGTATTGCCTTTTCTTCAGGTCAATACCAAGAATGTCAGTTGGACCCAATCTTGTATGGACTCCATTGTTAATAAAAAATAAAATAATAAAATAAAATAATAAAATAAAATAAAATAATAAAATAATTGACCCTTTTAATTTTTTTATTTTTTTTTTAAACTATACCTTGTAAGACCAAATATTGATCCAATGCAGAGTTGTATGATACAGCCAATTAAATGCCTTCAGCTATGCATGTGTTAATCTAAAGAACACAATTTTGGAACCTAGAATTTGAGTCATGGACCAAAAAGTTGTTAAATCATCTAAATAAATTAAAAGGTCATGAAACCTTTCTTTTTGAGAAATACTCACTGATTAAGAACAGGTCGAGAGCCCCTGATTTAGGGTAAGCTCTAGAATATGAAATCTGGAAATGTAGTAATATGAGACGCTTCATCTCTCGTGTACATTACGTGATGATATCTCATTTGTTGCTCTGCAATTTTGACTATAACGACAAAAAATTGTCCAAAGTGCAAAAATGTCCCTATATTACCCACTATCCTAAAAAAAGTAAATAAAGTGATGTTTATTTAGGGGTGTTTGTGTCTCGGTATGCACTGATAAATGATATATAATTTTGTGAACAGGTGCGTGAGAGTTTTTCTACCGTGGAACAAAAAAGACCAGCGCGACTGAGGGAGAAACAGAACAACTCCGATATTTATGGCCATATTTTTTAAAAGATTAAAAACTTACCATACAGTAATAGGTCTGGCTCTGCGGCACTTTGCACCAGATGTATTACTCAAGAGCAGGTTTAGAGCTGCAACAACCATCATTTTTCCATACGACCGCGTTCCACGCGCCCTGTTCCACATTCATCATTTTTAGTATATTAATAAACAGTAAAGAGGAGATATTTATTCAAAGCACTCATTTGTCTCCACAAACCAGCTGAATCTGTGCTTTAGCATAGCATTTATCACAAAAAACAAAGTGTGACCACTGCGTTAATGCAGCATTATGACAAATGCAAATTTCGCCATCATTTCTGTTTGTTTGGATCTAGATTAGAACAGGAGTAACCGTTCGACAATAAAGCGAGTGTTAAAAAGGTGTGAATGCCGGTGCAAGCGGCGTTTGTTGACGTGGTTCTGACCGGGCGAGACGCTGTTTAATGACACTCTAAAGGCTGCTAATAAGGCTTTGTTTTAAAAATGTTTGAAGTGCTAAAAGTAGGTATTTTCCATATCAAATGAGCTTTAGCACAAAGCAGACTGTAATTGCAATAATGCTTCGCTAACAGAACATTAAAGGAAAAACAACAACACGAAACAACGGCGATATAATTTCAGGTGACAGCTGTACAAATCAAAGGCAGTTGAGCTTTTCAATGAGGAACAGATGAGACTCCTGCTGAGCTGTGTACCTCTGATTATAAACCATAACTTACTGCTACAATAAAAACGTTACGGCCGTACGGCAGATGATGCGGCATTATCCAGCATACGCGCTTCACCTGATACCAGACTGTACTTGCAGATTTCCCCTGGTGTTTTGGTACTTACTTTCTGTTTTTTTTTTCCAAGGAGGAGGGGCTTTGTTTGGCTGTTTATTATTTTACAGGGTTGTGTCAAAGCACCGCTTGTCAAGATCAATATTTCAGCTGAGTCTTTCACTAAAGCTTTGACCTTTCCAGGTGTACATCTTTCTTGGGCTCAAATTCCTCATGATGAGCAGCGGAGGAGGGCCATTTTTAGAGCACTGCTCGGCTCAACACAATGTAAGCACACTCTGTAGGGTTCAATAAAGACATGCTCAAAAAACATACACACAACGGCATGAGAGAACTGTCTGTATTGGAATTTTCATCCCACAGGCAAATGTCCTCAAAAACATTCATACCATATCAGCAAAATCAATTAAACAATTTTCAATTAAAAACATTCTACTAATTCCCAGTTTGGCCCTTAGCAACAGATAAACACATTAGATGATATCCAGCATGTTTGTCCTTTCAGCCTCTGTACTGGCTCAATAGAGCATTAAGTATCATTAGAAAATAAGACTTAAGAACATGCACATCCATTGGCTTTACATGGCCACATATTGATTGAATACTCAATACTAATCAATAATGATAATACTCTTGAATGTACAATTTCTATATCCCTTGCCATTACGTTTGCAAGTGTGTCTGACTAATCATTTCTATCTGGTGGAGGTGATAAGTGTTTCATAGTGCAGCAGGATACACAAGAGCAGAAGCCCACGACTCACTAGTTGATTTAGTTTGGCACAGTTACGCCACTACAACCATGACCAGCAACACTTGTTTATATATCTTACACCGGTGCATTTATATCAAACCGCGGCCTTAATTAACAAGGCTGACATTATTACACCTCTGGAGTGACTTATGGTCCTGTGGCTGGATTATTATTTCTGATCTGTCAGTTCATTAGGACTGAATCAGGTGCACAGCCCACTTGCTTTTGCCTGCTTATTGTGTTTCGCATTTTATTTGCTTGCAGTAGCATGTTGAAATTGGTCACAAGGGAAACAATTCCACTGCAAATCGCTCTTCTCTAATCAATCATTTCTTCTTGTGTTCTTCAGGTTGTTTATTAAGATTATTATTGCTATTTATAATAGACGCACCTGCTTTGCTGGAACTCCCACTAGGTATAAGAGCAGCTCTTAATTGAACGCATTTCTGTGTTTATATGTGTCATCCGGCCAAATACAGTTTCTGCATTTTTGTGCTTATGTCATCCTGCAGAGTGCTGTAGTGCCATATACATCTTATATGTGTATGTGGGTGATCACAGTAGAGATTTTGAAAAATGAAAATGAATGACTAGACTATCTTAAAAAAAACCTTATAATAAGACTGGTTTAGGAGGACGCTTGACAGATTCTTAGCCTTATATAAACGCTAAGCACAACTCTCAATAGCAAATATTCAACAAATAAATCAGCTAATATAACAATAAACTTTAATCTTATAAAATAGACATCATAGATTCTGCATAACACAGACAACAAGGTCTCATTTCTTAACATTAGTTGAATACGTTAACATGAGCTAGTAATAAACAATACTTCTATGGCATGCATTAATGTCAACATTTACGAATACATTTTTAAATCAAAAGTTTATCAGTATCTGTTTACATTAGTTAATGCACTGCGGTGTTGTTATCATTAACTAAAATGAAAAAAATTTCAACGATTTAAAAACGTTTTTGATAAATTAAATAAAGCTGAAATAAAATGCAATATAAATATTAGATGAAAATGTAAACTTTAAAAATGTAACCAAAAATTAGAAATTAATGTGAATGCTATATATACTGTATATGTCTATACACATATATTATATAATAAAAAAATATAAAAATTAAAATATAAAAAAGTTTATTCAATCTCCTAATAAATACTATAATAGTATATAAATAATAGTAATATATGCTGTAAAAATGCATTGTCTATTGTTATTTCATGTTAAATACTGCAAATAATATTAACAAATGAGGCCTTGTTGTATTACCAAATCCAGATGAATTCACTAACTTAGTCACTAAGTCAAACATATTACCCCATTGACCCTAAAGTATAAATGAGATGCTCTTTC